TATATATATATATATATATATATATATATATATAAATAAAGTTGTGGATCTTCTCAATCAAACCAACAAAAAGCTATAAATAGAAAAAGGAGATACTCATATCATGCATCGGTAGGAGTAGAGGCCGAGCCAAAAATTTTAATAAAAGGGTTCAAAATGCGTAGAAAGAGATAGTTGAAAGGGATTCAACATTTATTATATATACATATAAACTTATTTTAACCATATATAAATAATATGATTTTCCGCCAAATGAGGTTCGGAAAACTTCATACAAGGTAGTTCCTCCCTGCGTAGAGGTATGGAATTTCATTTTTTTACGTCATTAGAAACTTGGAAATTTTGTTATTAGCTAAAATGGATGTTCAAATGTATATTTTAAAAGCATAATGACAGAAAAGGTAAGATTAATCTTGGATTATGGTTACAACTTATTATAACCTATACGTTTTTAGTTCATTTTCCAAAAATTTACGTAATGAACAACTAATTTACCCCTTTTTATGATGATATATATTTGATTTAATATGGAGTATTAGATTAAAAAAGGTTATGTATATAGAAAGTTTAAATTTGAAGAGTTTAATGAATTTGAGATCTTGTGAGTTATTTAATTAATTCCAAAGAATAATAATGTCATATAATTGAATAGTTTGATTGAGTTCATAATTATGTGAGAATACTAAAAATAATTGGTTCAATCATTAGTAAAATAATTTACCCTCTTTAAATAAATTTAACGACAAAATATGACATGCATCGTGCATGTATGAACAGCTGATGCCTTTTGGAAGATTATGTTTCATTGTGTTTTACTTAACATTCTCATTTACAATAATGGAAATCTCATTTTTAAATTAATAACATAATCGAATCATGTTGGTTGTCAAATATTTTTGTGTTCAGAGAGTTAATGAATATGAATTATTTATCTAAATATCAATTAATTTGTTATTCAACTAACCATGTGAGGTAAGCTCTAAAATACAATTTCTTTGAAACATTGTAAGCTGTCAAACTATACAGTTCTTTTTTTCTCTTAATTAAAATGAAATGATATTTCTAACTAATATAATGATTAAAATATTTGAGTAAACTAAAGACGTGGATATATTTGGAAGGTTGAACAACATTGAGTTAATTAATTAAATAACTAAGCGGTCCACATCGCTGTGCGAACTTTTTATTATATATTATAGTTCCTAGATAACGCAATTATGTTGATATGATTAATTATTAGTTCTTGGTTTAGTAACTTTTAATTATTTAAAACACAAAGGTACAGTTTGTCTCCAGATGCCATCCGTAGAGATAACTAAACTTTTAGCTAATATTATTTGATGAATTAAAGATAAAAGTTACTATAGGTAGGAGAAAAAATTCTCGACTAATCGGAGGCAGAGGTAAAATTTAACTTTTATGCAATTTTAATTTTTAAATTATAAGATTCTAAATTAAAATAATACGTATTGGATAGGATTTAAACTAAAGTTATTGAGTTCGCAAATAATGTATTTTACTAGTAAAAACTAATTTTCTTTTTGTCCAATCACAAAGACGTAATTAACTTGTATAATTTTACAACTAAGTTATTAGCAGTCAACTCTTTGGTTGGTATAGGTTTGTGATATAAGCAATACTAGCATAGGATTGTAATTCAAATAAGAAAAATATGTATTAATTAGGGAAAAGAAAATTGAATTATGTTAATTAATGAGAAGACAAAAGGATAGTATACATTATCTTCATGTATAAACTTCCATGTTAAGTAGGATAAAATATGATTAAGACCTTAATAATCCAGCATACTTGAGCATTTTATGCCAATTTTATAGCTAAGGATAATATAAAGTGAGGTTTGACTTGTAAAATATGTAGGCATCCAATAATCAATGGCATCAAACTGTAGTTAGTTGTCGTACATTAATATCATAAGTTTCATATCCGTTACATAAGAATTAAAATAAGGATAGTATTTAAAAGAAAGTCTCTAAAATTGATCCTAATTAAATAACAGATAAAAAAGAGATTTTTAAAAGATAATATTTTACTTGACATAAATTTAAATTGGCTAAAATCTCAAAATGGATCCGAAACAGCAGCTGAGAGATTAAAAAAAAATCTTATCCTCAAATCCCAGTTATTTGGCTGCCAAGAAAGATGGAGATAATTATTATTATATTATAGTAATAGAAAACAAAATAGGGTAAAAAAAAATTTAAAAATTATTTTTAAAAAAATAAAAACGTGACAATGGCAGTCTAAGGACTGAAATGTATTTAATCCCCACATGGTGTAGATTGAACTTTGATATGGTGTGGGGATAAGATCCAAGAATAACATATAGGACCCTCTTCTTGAATCATCTTAATTATTATTCTTTTTTCTTTTTCTAGTAATTATTGATTTGATTTTCAATGTGCTTTTATTTTGAGCATGTGATTTTGGACCAATAATGTTAGAAGATGCACCATATATAATGTTTGACAATTATTTAAATTTCATAAAAGCGATTTTGATATCAAAGATATTATAAATAACTTATAGAATTCAAAAAATGTGTATTTTTTAAGTTAAAAGTTCGTTAGTCTTAACGAGAATGGAAAATGAAAATTTGAGATCAGATTTCGTTTTTATGTTTTCATTAATACCGTCAGTCGAAAGTGTAAATTGACTACAATAATTATGCACCTCCAAATCACTATATAATAAAAAAAGATCCTAATATTTTGAACCACAAATTTATAAATCAAAGATGAATAAATAGTTTTAATCGAAGCGTGACAAAAAGGTGAGACATGTTATTTAATCTAAATTTGCACTAAGAACTCACAATTACGTATTCCCTAAATAGGATACTTCCATATACATGATTTCTTGAAGAATATAAAATAAGTAGAAAGGGACAAATATACTTTAGTTACCAAATGGGAAAATATAAAATGTGTGGCATTGAAACATTATTACTAAATTAAAATATAAAGTGTGATGCCAATCAGCTAAGAAATATGTGGAGGAAATAGAAATGTCGGAGTGAGGGTCCCCTTTATTGTGTTTACTTTACCTAAATTCTTCAATATATGTAATGTTATGTAAGTAGTAGTTATTAATTAATTAAATATTTATGTTCCTTTGACGACCAATTAAAGATTTTTTTAACTTAGAAAATTTAATTCCATTTTATTTGGGTTAGATGGTCACACTCACCGATCAATGATTTAATACTTTTATGGTGGACCCTATAATTAATTGCTCACTAGATTCTCTGGGTCGGTAACAATCCAATACAAATTATTACCCCACTTAGCTTATTATACTTTCTACTTAATCATAATGACAAGTGTTTCCAGAATAATCCTAAGAATCAATAATATGTTTCAATTGATCACATAAATACACCATGAATTGTTCCCATTAAATAAATTTGTTTTTAAATTTTATTATTATATAAATAAGTTTATCACTTTAAATTAATCTTTTATTTTGTTTATCAGCCTTAATTTGTACAAATTTGATATTTTACGGATTTTTAAGGCTAAATTAGCTATGTAACATACACTTGAGAATATAAACTAAAACTTGAATTAAAAATATTTAATAAAGGTATTTTATTAATATATAAGTGATCATGAGTGAAAACGAATTAATAATTCAGTCCATGTTGTTACTATAATAAAGCTGGTGTTTTCGTGATAGTATGGTACTCCTCTTAATTTGGTTATCATATATACAGCTTTGATTATTAAGTATTACTTTTACC